CCACAGGAGGAATGCTAACTTTTTGAAGAATGTAACAAAGCATTGAGCCTTTTACTTTAGATCAGAAAATAAAAAAATGTCCAAACCAAGGGGCTACTCCACCTTTGCTGCTATGACCTGTCCTGCTCCACCCACCAAATGTTCCACGTCTGTTGCTGTGCTATTTTCAGAATGATCTATATATTTGTTCGGCTGCACCTGCATTTATCCTACGGGGATCAATAAAGTATCTATATCTATCTGCTTTGTGGACTATTAGACGCACTTATACATAAGCTGCACCCCTAACATTTGAAAAGAAAGTGCCTTTTGTTCACACATGCTGTACTTGAATATATGACTGTAGATTTTAATGTCGTAATGTAGCAGAGAGATGAGTGTTTATGATTAAATGACGAGGTGTCAACAGCTCAACCGTTAGCTTCCATGACTCATTCACCTTCATCTGTTTTGGCAATAAACAAGTGTCCAATAGCTACTAAAACTTGATGAAGTCAAGATAATAAGTCCATAAACTTTCCACTGGCATATCTACCACAATAAAAAAAATACACATTAATTGCAAAACTACATCAGCTGGAGGGTTCAAAAAGCTAGAAAACAGTAGCAGTTTATAGTACAAATATGGTGGGTACTTTTGTGTGGTGAGGGTTTGATTCTCCAGCTTTAAATTGGCAATTTCTTTCTTGTATAGTTTTCACTGTCTGTCTGTAAAATATTTGAAGCAAATGTATGTTTTGTTTGTGCGTTCCTGTATGAAATGTTCTGTTCTCCTCTTCTTCAATGTTAGCATACGAAAGTAAGTGGGTGTTGATTCTACTTATTAATGCCTCTACGGCCCAACTGAAAACACATATATGATCTGAACCAGCCATAGGAGAGACACAGAGGGCAACTCACAGATTAGGAAATACATTTTCACTGCGGAAAGAAAATCCAGATGAAAAATGTCAAGAATGCTTTTGTGTGTAATGACAGCGGCTTAAATGCTCCTATAGCGCTGTGATGGTACATCATGTGCAGAAAATGGAGCATGATTCCTTGGCTTTTTCCCACTGCTCCAATTCCTTCATCTGTGTGTTTCTCAAACTGCAGAGCCTTAATCCAAAAATGACATGTTAACATACACTGTAGCTCAAGCCTTCTATAGGACCCCTGGCACATTGCGCAAGCTGTGGGGAGATTTATCCTTCGATAGCCTTCGTTTCTTCCAAAATCAGATCTTAAAACAAAGAGGGATTTATGGGGCTATAAAATGGGGCTGGTGATTGCATTTGAATAAAACTTGAAATTGAAATGGAGTAGCTGATGTTGTGCACCAAACACATACAGACGGCAAACAGGTATATTTGTGTGTGTAGTTTTATCGGCGTGTGTCATGATTAAATATACAACAGTAATAATAGTAGCAATAACAGTGGTAGTAGTAACAGTAGTAGCAAACGTTTTCCATTGTAATGCTGATGCAATGCTATAAGTCTGTCTCTGCTGGCTGCACCCCGTGAGCTGGCAACGGACAAAGTGGAAGAACTGTCCTTGTCTTAAGAGGTTACGAAAGATATGCACATTTATCAACATTTATGGGCAGTGGTTGTCCAGCTACCTATGGACCTATGTGTTTGTAATTATTGCATTTCCTGTGGTTTAACCGTTTGATTCTCCGATCTGTTGTTGGTGAATTGGGAACTTTGTAAAGTCCTCAAAAACGACTGCTATTGTGATATAGGACTGTACAGTTGGATCAAATGGCAGTACATTTTAGTGCACTGCATCCAATGAATATAAAATTATAGACATTATTGAAAGAAAAAAAATATTCTCCATGAAAACAGCTGACAATGTAGCTTTAGTTTTGTTAGCATGATAGCTAAATTCACGCCGCGACAAGCATGTATACAGTCATTGTTGTGTGGTGGAGAGATAGGTCAAAAATAAGACCAAAGTGGTGGTTTTCTGATTCAGACTACTGTAAAAATCACGTAATGGTTGGTTTTGTGTGTAAGTAAATACCGTTAGTTTAAAATTTTACACATTAAGATGCTGTTTATTTGAATATGTGTAGTTCGGATGAAGTAATGAAATAGCAGTAACATTACGTTTTCTGATTATGTTGCAGGGACACCTACCTCACACACACACACACACACACACACACACTAAAAACATGTATAAATGAGTCTAAAATCCTCATATTTCTGTATTTTCATGCACACAGCTCAAAAGTGTGAAGTCCATGAATTCGCCCGTTGAGTTGAGCGCCTGGATGAGAATGCAAAGCCCTTGTTCCAAAATTGAATCTCAAGACGCCACTTTCTGCATCATTAGACAATAAGTGGACGCTGAGGACGGTGTTCAGACCCAGAGGATGCCTTTTCCTGAACACAGCATAGACGTGGGGGAGAACATGGACTGCAGAGTGGCGATGACAACTGCTTTGAATGATAGGAGTTTTGTTTGCATAGTTTTAACAGTGTGTATAACCATGTACTGTATATGGCAATAAAATCTTAAGACAGAGAAGGCACTTTGGTCTTCTACATGATCTTTGACACCCCTGGCTTGACCGACATATTGTTCAGCCAATATTTATGTTTTTGAAATATTGATACATTTTGGCCCATGTGACGCTGTAGTAGCAGTATTTCTCATAAAAAATATATCTAAAACGGCTTTCTTTCAAGGATTTGAGTTCATGGCATCCAATCAGGAACCTGTGTAGGCAGTAGTGTGGTCTCTCCATTTTCACAATTTTTAAAGTAACTGACCTTCACTATTACTTCTTCCTGTTGAATACCATAGCATGTTACGCCTCATTTTAGAGAAATCTCTAATTTACTCTTATCTTCTCTTATTACCATCTAAACAATGAACGCAAGACATGAAAAATTTGTAATAACGGATCAAAGCCGTTTTGAGATTTTGTTTCAATCTCAGCACAGCTATACCCATTTAGTTCATGAAAAAACTACCAAAAACAACTATTCAAACCCATATTCAAGTCAAACCTGATCATTTGTTCAATACCATAAACAAACGTTCCAAAAATACATACTTGAATGCTTTCCACTGCCTCAGAACAATCTTATTCCCATCAATATCATCAAGGCTGTATGTAATAAACACAAAGTGTCCTACAGGCTACTAGCGCATTGGTATTAGCACATACAAATTGTCCTCTTAGATTGGCTAGACAAACATTGAAATTATATTAAAGAGCACAAACAGTCAATATCAAAGGGCCGCTCCACTACACATAAAGAAAGGGCATGTACCGGCTCGACAGGCTGATCAGGAAATGTGTCTCTGTGATTCTTTGGGTGATCAGATCAGAAAAAAGCAAGGGCCTCCTTCAGCTCTCATAAAACTAATAGTATGAAGATAGCATGTTGCGGTTTATTTATTCAAAACTGTGGTCATCCCGCTCCCTATGGACCAACGGTTCCTATGCGTTTGTTAATATTGCATTTCCTGTGTTCGAACTGTTTAATGCTCGGGGGCCGTATTCCTAAAGATTCTAAGAGTCCTCTCAGAGAGCTCCTATCTTAACCTAAAAACTCCTAGCTAGGAGTCTTAGCTTAAAAGTTATTCCAGAACACTCTTAGAGAACTCTGAGCAAGGAATGGACTACAACTTTTATCTTAGTGAGGAGGCGTGGCCGACCCCGTTGCTAGGTATGAGTCATCATTTCAGACGCTGTGATTGGTTGATCCTAAAAGTTAGAGAAACCATATTTTTGATAATGGGCAAAATAAGGATCCTCTAATGGACAAACTCAATCATAGAATCTAATCTTAGGAATACTGTGTCATTGTAAATAATCAGAAAAGGTAGAAAGTCAGATATATCAATGTATTTACTAATATTGTCAAACTTACGTTGTAAGTTTGACTTTTACACCACATCATTAGAGCTTGCTCAGCACCAATTTATCACACATATTTAACAAGCGTATATAACATGAGCACTTATATATGTATATATATATATATATATATATATATATATATATATATATATATATAGATGATTATGATAACATTAGTATTAGTAAAGGCTGTGATACTGAAAGACGTAAAAGGAATTAAGGAAAAAATATTAATATAAGCATTTTATACATACACAAATCAAGTGCATGTTATTGTGAATGTCACTGTTGCATAACTGTAAATACACCATGGAATAAACTAAGCTGTAGCAACCACATAATTTAAGTTAATTTAGAATGATAAATAGAGGGTGGGAGTTTAAAAGTATTAACTTCTTCACACTCCTTTTTGAACTGGATTGCTGTTAATAAAACAAAACTGTATATTTGTACATGATGACTTTTACATGATTGACTTTTAAACATGATTCCTGCAGGATCCAATCTGCAGCGTTTTACTGATTCACTGTGATCCAGTGTATAGAATATTTCTCCTGCCTCTACCGTCCACCATTTTGTCCTCTTAGGGAACTTTTAAGTTGCTAAAAGTCCACCTCTCAACTCTTAAGGGATCTCACCTTAGGAGCACTCTTAAGAGCTAGGATTCTTTAGGAATAGCTTTTTTCTTAACTAGAAGCTACTCCTCACTTTTAGGGGAAAATCTAAGAGTTGGTCAAGATTCTAAGAAAATTCTTAGAATTTGGCCACTAGGAGCAACTTTTAGCACTAAGAATCTTTAGGAATACGGCCCCTGATCTGTTTTTTGTGAATTGCCTTTTTTTTTACATCGCTTTATCAAGTAATGTTGCAATTCAGAGCTTTAATAATGAAATTGAATTGAATCGAACAAAAACAAATGTTGAGACAAACAGCAAAATGTATTATAAAACTGACAAAAACAAGTTTGGTACTCCAGTTAAATATTATATCATCGCTCATATTTTGAGACTGAATAGGGCTATAGAGACAAGATAATTGTTATATAAACTCACTATATAAAATGACATTCAAATCGGAGCAGGGACAGACAAAGGCCTGGTTACATTCACAATGGACTACCCTTACAGCCCTGTCCTTACCTCAGCACACAAGAGTAGTAGCCCACGTCCTCCAGTTCGGCCGGTCTGAACCAGATTGCGTCCTCCTCTTTGCTCATGCGCGTCCCGTCGAAGCTGATGGGCTCCTCAAAGTCCCCGTGTCCCGTGCTCTTGTACCACATGAGGCTGAGGCCCGCGCTCTGGGCCAGGCTGTAGTTAGCTCGGATGTAGCCGTAGAACAGGGCGCAGCGGATCCGTACCGGCTCTCCAAGCAGTGCCTGGTACTTTTTGTAGTCCACCGACCAGTCCGTGCAGCCCTCCACTGGAAGATAGAGGATTGCAAATATTGGAACACCAAATAAACAAACAATCGAAGATGGATGAGCATAGTGTGGAGTGAATGAAATACTTCTGATGCAGGTACACATTAGACCCATCCAGACAGAATAAGCAGGGGAATTAAGCACTACTACCTGGTGGACAAGAGATAATAAAAAAGTTGGGTAACTTAGTATGGAACTGAATACTAAAGTCTATCTATTTATAGTTTTTTTCTATAGTCTTAAAACAGTTTGCTTCTATCACTGTTTTTTGCAAACATGTATTGATGGCCTTGTCACACCTTTGGATCAGCTTTTTCTGACAAAAAAGTGAAAAAGAGGACCACCTTCACTCAGCCAACCAGCTCTCAGCCAAAAGTACCAAATAGTGACTCACAGCGCTTTATTATTTGCTATTTTCTAATGGCAAGAAGGTCCAGGGTTCAATTCCATTTCTAAGCCTTTCTGTGTGGAGTTTGCTCGCGGATGCAACTTAGCCCATGGCAACAATACGGGCAGGTGTGTTCGCTACCATACATGTCCCAACCAAAAAACATCAATAAATAGATGTTTTTTATTAAGTAACTTTCATACGTTAATAAAACCTCAGTGGGAGAAAAGTAAACATTGCTATACTGTCTACTATAACAAACTTGCCCTCTGAGTCATATGACATTTTGGGCTTATTGAGAGTTGGGTGGACATAGGTGCTTATGCCTACTTGAATTTTTCCAATCTCCCCTTTGAGACTCAAAAAGTGATATCCAAACCAATTTGTTTCTATCATTATTATGCAGTCAAAGTTTCTGCAGTCTGGCTTCCAATCGACACTCAAATCTTACAACACGTTTATGAGAGAGAGCATCATCTCAGAGCTTCACAAATACAGTACATGGATCTCCTAGGACCAAAATAAAGACGAGTCAAATGGACCATGACAAAACAAAAGTATTCATCAAGATGTGAACGCTGCGGCTACAGAGAGAGGTCATGTGAAAACTTGGAGATCTCACAATGTCAACCAGGGTCAAAGAGACAAGGACTTGAATGGTTTGAAAAGATATAGAGCAGGCTTTAGAGAAGACATAACATGATTCTAACTGTGTAATAGATGTAGAAATAACATCAACGGAGATCACATCTGAAAATTATTCTAAGAATGTTGTTACAAGCAGCCATCTTCTTGTAGACCCACCACCTGCAGGAAGATCAGCGAGGGACTGGTGCTATGAGCTTTGGATGACAGCTCTGATTGTGCCCCCCCCCCCCCCCCAGTTTACACACCATTGCAGGGTCCACATCACTGCACACGTAACTGTATGTAACTGCATATGGTGCTGTCTGTGGTGCTGAAATTCAAGTGGGTTTCTTCCATTACAAACATATGGAAAGATTACACTGTTCGTGTTGTGTTACTGCTTTTACTCTGAGGTGTGAGCAAAGAGAAAAGCCCAAAGCAGATGGACTCTTTATTCTTTTTACTATTTAGCATTTATGTCTAAAGAAGTCCGTCTTGACCACAGTAAATATACATACAAGCAAATTCAGAAAAAGAGATACACTCAAGTGTATTTTGCATTTCTAAACGGATACTGATACTATTTGAGCCTAGATTTTTGAATCAATGTCAACCGAGTCATCAGTTTGCCTAACGGAACTAACTCAAATCTTTTTAGGTTAATTACTAAAAAATTAAAAGTCTTGGTTTTGATAAATATTAAAGTTATAGTATATAATATTAGTATTTGGCATGAACATACGAAGAACCATTAAGAGCCATCATAATCCAGAAGAATAAGAAGACTTTCATGTAACTAACCTAATATGTGAACCTGTAACCAATTTCGTTCTTTTTATTTTTTTTTTTTTTTTTTTCCACTTTATTCCTCAGTCCTGTGTGGAAGAGGAAAGTCGTGGCGGGTCTTCCCTCGCTACTCAGACTTCCCAAGGCGTTCCCATCCAGAGCCAGCTGAGAAACCACCAATGTGTCCCTTCCCCTTGTCCTCCTCCTGGTGGGAACATAATACCAAGAGGTTCGAGATGTTCCAGGTTTCCAACCAGGAGGAGACTAGAGGATGTCCCAGGTGGCCAATCCCCAAAACAAATTGCCATGTTGCCCCTCAATATGCTCCCACCTGATGTGGAGAAGCAGCAGCTCTACTCTCCGAGATCCCCCCGCGTGACTGAGCTCCGCAACCTATCGCTAAGGGAGCCCCAGCCACCCTGCAGAGGAAAACTCATTTGTGTGCCAGTACTTTATCTGTGATATCTTCTTTTCAGTCATCACCCAATCCTTGTGACTACATGTGAGGGTGGGAACATTCAGAGCTCTGACTGCAGACACTGCTCTCTCCACCTCAACAACAGTCTGATACAGCGGCCGCTGCACATGACCTGAGATGTTGAACTCCTCCACTTGAAGAAGGACCCCAAAGATGACCATCACTTGTCAAATAACAAAAAGATAGATTGCTATATACATTAAGGTTGATGCAGTAAACAGTATATTCAGGAATGAATCCTGGGGATAAATTGTAACAAGGACATACATTTTTGAAATGGGAAATAAAGCTTTGATCAATTTGAAATGTTACGAATTTCTTTACTTTGGATCCTGCTGTCACACAAAACCAAAAAACTCGAATAAATCTTCTTTTATTGGAGTAAAACGCTTTCCTTTCACTTCCTGTTGGTGACATGTCCTGTGCAAGACATCTGCTGCTCACAGCTCTGCCACCAGGCTTCAACAGGCGCCACACGGCTCTAATTGAAATCGACTATAAATGTTTTATTTATACAAGATGCGGCCGCGGCCGGGCTACCGGGGGGCGAGTGGTGTGGGTTGCCAGGGTTCCAGGTCCAATTACAACGGTCCGTCTACGGCCAATTTGAGGTTTGGGAATTCGCTACAGAAACCCCCACCCCGACCGAGAAAGTGCAAACATACGTTTGAGTCAAGTGTGAGTCAATGATGAGTGTTTAGTGTACCAACGAAACCACGGTCTTTTGGTACATTCTGTTAACAGGTGTGTGAAACTGTGATTAACTTTGGAATACGAAAATACAAAGAATTTAAAGCTGTGTTTTACCTTAACTTTGAAATTACTACATTCTGAGCATGGTTTCGGTTCAAAAATGCGATAAACACAAATTAGAGGTGACCTCTCGCTCTTTGCACATTATTATGATATGTTGATTCCGCCGTACTTTTAATATTTAATGCTCTTTATTATATGAGAAGAGAAACGTAGGTACCCAAGCTCTTTTCAAGCAAGAGTATGTAACAAGCAAATGTGTTCTAATAAAGTCCAATTATAATCACTCTTTTGTTGCCAGAATAAAAATGTTAGCAAGTTTAGCTAGGTAGCACCTGATTACCGATTGCAATCCACACTGCTGGGGTTGAACTCATAAAAACAGTATAACACCTTTGTATTTGACTACTGCTGTATGACTACTTTTTGTGTAATACTCGCGCCTTTCATTTAAACACATTTGTGGTGCACATTTAATGTGTGTGAATTATGTTCCTTACAAAATGAATTAAGATAAGAGCCAAGAACCAACTAATATGTGTACCCTCATATAAACAGCCGCCCCTAATGAGAACACTATTCTGACCCTCTGCGATTGGCTAATTCTTCTGGATAAATTTTAAAATCAAAAATAGTAGTGGCCATTTGTATTTTTTTTATTAAGGAGTGACGCCAGTTTAAGAAAAGGGCACTCTCTATGGCGCTCACGCGCGCTCGTCGCTGGGAATCACATCATACAATGTGTTTTAAATGAATATAGACTACAGTTCATGGATCCACTTCAGCTAGTCCCCACAACACTAGACGTTTTCCTTACTGAGAACCATTTCCTAAACCCTATCTTGTGTTTTCCACCGCCAAAGCTTGTCGCACTTGAGATAAAGAACTCCAGCCTGACCCTTTCCATTTTGCATTCTATTCTGCTTAATTAGTCTCGCCGTGGGGAGGAGAAAACTCTAAAAAAACTCTACCGATCTTTTTTTACCGTTTCGATGGCGACGGGCACGGGCACACACGCTAGTCATCAACCTTGCTAATTCGAGCGTGTGGATGGCTTTAAGGGAGATGTCATAAACGACTTTGATCTTGATAGAGAGTGGAGGAAAACAGGTTAGGTTGGCTCACCGAGTGCTCTTGCAGAACACGAGAGGTGCTTGTAGACAGGACGGTGAAGAGACGAGGGATGCAATTGTGGCGGTAAAATAGAGAATAATAACAATATGGGAGCCGAGGAGACGGTTGGAGAGGCACTTGTCTGGTGGAGTTATTTGGAAAGAGGTGGCAATTTAGATCCAAGAGTGATTAGACTTGGAGTGCATCTCGATAGATGTATGCATCACTGTGGCTTTTGAACTATTGTAAACTTAATTAAAGAAAGTTTAAATGGAAAATCTTGCCATCATTTTTTTGTACCAGTTTGGTTAGTTTGTGAATGGGACTTATTTCCTCTTAGTATTTTATTTATTCCATTTTTATTTTAAAGCTGGCAAACCTTAAAACGTGTCATTTTTTGTTGTTGTTGTGGATATTAATGAACACACCTCTCCGGATTGCGAAGCCTGGCTGTGCTCCTCTACATCTGCTGTCCTAATGTTCGCACTTACTCACACACACACACATTCCACTCTGAACTATTGTACATGTGTTTAGTCGTAGGGGAAACCGGAGTAACCGGAAGAAACCTACGCAGACACATGCAAATTCCACTCAGAAAAGCCCTATTCCGACGGGACTCGATACCCAGAAACTTATTTCTGAGAAGCAAGAGTGCTATCCACTCAGCCATTGTGACGCCCAAAGCATGTGGAAACTTGTTTTGCTCTGCTCTAGCTCTGCTCGATTCTACTTGACTCTATCCTGATTGGGGGGAGGTTTCCACCTCACCCTCCTGGAAACCAATTTGATCCCAAGCTCTTAACATATAAACTTTCAACCAAATCTCAATCCAGTATTGTCAAATCGAGTGTCTATTTGTCATTGGTGCTATTCCTGGAGTGTTGGCATAGTATACTGCACATGCAACAAACTTATCTTCTAAACATTTTCTAATCCCCTCACGTTTCTCGCAATGAGGGTTTGGGCTGGTTCTGGAGGCTTGAGTGTCTCTGCTCTGACCCACGTGAGTAAACCAAGCTCAGGGTCCGGTCTGTGTTTCTGGGCAGTGAAATCAGCTCCCGAGCCGCCAAATGACCACACAGCAAATGTTGACATGGCACGCGGAGACCGGAGGCCATTCTACAGGACCCAGTGATTGGGCACTCCCATGCAATAAATATGTGTCACTGACTAAACTCCTCTCATCCTCCAGCTTGTGACATATATACACAAAGGTTTCTTGATATATGTCACTTTCCAAGAAATACTTGAATACTTCAGAGAAAACTTGAAAAATTAATTACGGCCAAGAGTCGATGTTTGTGCTGAGATGGGGGGAACCTTTTTCCATGATAGTTCCTCTCTGTTGTTCATTGTTTTGATTTCCTTTTCAAATGTCTCGCCTTGAACAGTTTGTATAATTATTAACTTTGCTGTGTTAGAATGTCCATTTTTGGTTTGTTTGTCTCAGGAACCTTTGATAGATCTGACCTTTCGAATGAGTGTGGCGATAGCTCGTGTAAGACGATTCCAACTGGAGAAGCGCTCAAACCTGTGTGAGTCGAGTGATTTTGTTACAGATGTGGTTGCAAATGTTGAAACTTGTGGGCGGACTTCAATGTCTGTGGTAGGTTCAACAAGTTCAAAGCTGTCCATTTGCACAGGACACGCTCCATCAACTTTTCTTAAAAAGTCAGGTCCGGTGAACCAGTTTGTAGAGCTTAGTATTGAAGCTGGCACATGCCGTGTTCCATGATCAGCGGGATTGCTTTCCGTGCTCACAAAGTGCCATTGACTGGGCTCAGATGACTTTCTGATACGAGCAACCCGGTTAGCGACATAGACGTAGAATCTCCGGCTGGTATTGTTGATGTAGCCTAGGACAACTCGGCTGTCAGTGAAGTATTTCACTTTTTGAATTTCAATGTCCAGTTCATCTTGTGTCATGTCCGCCAGCTCTACCGCCAAAACAGCAGCGCATAACTCCAAGCGAGGCACCGTGTGGATTTGTCTGGGGGCTAATTTGGATTTACCCATGCAAAAGCCTACATAGATGTGGCCATCAGTGTCAGTGACTCGAAGATAAGCGACAGCAGATATAGCTGATGTTGAAGCGTCTGCAAAAACACACAGCTCTTTTTGACAGAAAGATTGCAGTGAACTGTTTACATACTGTCTGGGGATTTGTAGTTTCTCGAGGTCGATAAGTGAATCTTTCCAGGCTTTCCACTGTGACTCGTTTTCTGCTGGCAGTGGAGTGTCCCATTCACAGTTCTCTGAGCAGAATTCTCTGATGAGAGATTTGCCTTGCATGATGATGGGGGCAGCAAACCCAAGGGGATCATACAAGCTGTTAACAGTGGAGAGGATGCCCCTTCTTGTGAATGGCTTGTCTTCTCGTGACACAAGGAAGGTGAAACAGTCATTTTGCAAATCCCAGTTAAGCCCTAAACTTCTTTGCAAGGGCAGGGGCTCTGAGCCAAGGTCGAGGTTTTTCAGTTCCTTTGCACGTTCTTCAGATGGGAACGCTTCCATTACAGTTGAAGTTGGAGGCTATCTTGTGCAAGCGGATGTTGGAAGCTGCAAGCATGTCTTTGGTGCTTTTCAGAATCTGTATGGCAATGGCGTCTGAGGGAAAGGAGGCCAGTCCGTCGTCGACATAAAAATTCTTAAGAACGAACTGTTTGGCTTCATCAATGTAGTCCTCCTGTGCATCCAGAGCCGCCCTCCTGAGGCCGTATATTGCTATGGCAGGAGACGGGCTGTTTCCAAACACATGTACAGTCATCCTGTATTCTCTGATGACTTTTGTGGGATCGTTACCTTCGTACCACAGGAAACGGACAAATTCGCGGTGGTCCTCACGAATGACGAAACAATAGAACATCTGCTCTATGTCTGCAGTGATCGCCACGTTTTCTCTGCGGAACCTCAAGAGTACCCCGATAAGAGTGTTGTTCATATCTGGGCCGCTCAACAAAACGTTGTTCAGAGAAGTGTCTTCATGAATGGCACTAGAGTCAAATACTACACGTATCTGGGTTAGTTTGCGAGCATGGTAAACCCCGAAAAACGGTAAGTACCAACATTCCTTGTATTTGTCGATTGGCGGGACGGGTTCTGCATGTCCTGACTCAAACATTTTCTGCATGAAGTTGAAGAAATGTTCTTTCATGTGGGGCTTTTTATCCAATGTGCGACACAATGAATTGAGACGTTTGACAGCTTGGTCTCGGTTGTTGGGTAGTCTGCGCCTGTTTGTTTTGAAGGGTAGTGGCGCCACCCAGCTGTTGGACTCATCCATGAACACTTGCTCATCCATGATCTCCAGGAAACGTTCATCCTCCACCGACATGGCAGGTTTGTCATCATGTGGGGTTCTCATGAATAGTTTCTTGCTGAGACAGTCGTTTTCATCCATGTAAATCAAGCTGTTCATGTTCAAAGAGCTGAAAGGGCCGTCCGAGCCCAAGACTTTTTCTTTGACATGAAATGAGTTGGGGCAAGAGTCCAAGAGAGACGTGCGTCCATTGTTCAACACTGCTGTGCGGTAAACACTGACTTTACTAGGCACATGAGCCCCCCCAAGGCAGACCTCACCTATTATGACCCAGCCAAGGTGAAGGCGCTGGGCGTATGGGGCATCATGGGAGCCGTTGTAGTGTTCTCTGACCTTGTGCACTCTTGGTATGTCTCGGCCGAGGAGGACCAGTATCGAAGCATTTGGGTCCAATTCTGGAATCTTGTTCGCCAAGTGCTTGAGGTGAGTGTGGTGCTTTGCAACCTCTGGTGTCGGGATCTCAGATCGATCATCTGGGAGCATGTCACACTCGATTAAGGTGGGGAGCTGGGCACTAGTATTGCCGTCTAGAGACTCTACAACAAACCCGTCAGCTTGGCGTGCCATTGTTTCGTCTACACCTGAGCAGGTTTTGAAAGTGTAAACCTTAGCGTCTGTGTTAACGTTGAAGATCTCAAAGAATTCTGTCCTTGCTAAAGATCTATTACTCTGCTCATCTAACACAGCATAGACTTTCACGGCCTTTTCTCTGTGTCCAGCTGGATAGATGTTCACTAGACAGATTTTGGAGCATGAGCGTGAGCTGTTACCTTTGCCGCAGATTGCTGTACATTTGGACACAAGGGCTTGGGTGGAACTTTCTGGTTGCTCCCCGCCATGCTCATCTGGGGCTGCAGAGTCTGGAGCTTGAGTTTTCCACCGGGCGGGTCCAGGGTGTAGCGCGGTGACATGGCGGTCACTTTTACACTCATAGCACTGTACACTTGTGTCACAGTCTTTTGCCATGTGGTTGACGGAGGAACAGCACTTGTAACAAATGTTATTTTCTTTCAGAATAGCTTTTCTCTCATCCAAGGTCTTTGCTCTGAAACCACGGCACTTGCGGAGGGAGTGCGGTTTGTTGTGTAGTGGACATTGTTTATCTGGATCAACCACCTTTTGGTCTTGAGCATCGTGAAAGCCTTTGGTAGTAGTTACTTCAGTTTTGCGGACAGATACTGCAGTTTTGAAGTTGGGCTTGTTGAATCTTTCTGGCTTATAAGCGCTTGGGCCACAGGTGGAGAGCAAAGGGGCAAAGCTAGGGTCATTGAGAGTTTTAGCTTTGTCACACACAAATTTCACAAAGACAGGGAATGGCGGGTAGGACGCGTGGTTTTGCTCTTTGTAATAGGATGCTGTAGTGATCCATTTCTCCTGGAGATGGAATGGAAGTTTTTGGACAATAGGAGTGATGCCTCGGGACGTATTCAGGTAACTGAGCCCGGGTAGGAACCCGTCTACATGAGCAGCATCAAGCTCTGTAAGTAGATCCCCGAGCTCCCTCAACTTGTGATTTTCTCTGTTTGAAATCTTGGGAAAATCTTCCAACTTTTTTAGGAGAGCATTCTCTATTGCTTCAGAAGACCCATAGACATCCTCCAGTCTTTGCCACACCATCCTTACGCCAGCTGAAGCATCGTAGATGTGGGGCCTAACCACTTGCATAGGAGATCTAACTCCTCTCTTGGGGATAAATGGAGTCCTTCAATTGAATTAAAAAAGGATGCCTTCCAGGCCCAGTAATTTTCAGGCTTATCATCAAATGTCAGGAGGCCTGAGCTTACCAACTCTCTGCGAACCAAATATTTGGCTAAGTCTGATGTGGCTGGGGAATTGGACTCATTAGCACTGATAACAGGGCGTGATGAAGGTGTTAATCTGGGCTGGAAGTTGGCTGACTGACCTGTAGAGCGTGGGTGGAATCTCTGGTCAGCAGCAATTGAGGTTGAATACTGGGTTTGGGGTGTGAAATAGTCATTTCTGAATAAGCTTTGGGCAACAAACCGATCTGCTCCAATTATGTTTCTATACTTTGGTGATTGCGCTACTGGTAGCTCTTGGAACTCAAATTCACTGTTCTCTCTGCTTTGTATGCTGTGCTCTTTGGCTTTACTTTGCACAAACTCACCACTGTTCTTTACTTGCTGAGCTGTTGGGAGCACAAGCGTGTTTGTTTGTGAGGAGTCAAAGCGGGTGTTGGCTGGCGGTGGCGGAGATGGATCTGGCTTGGGCTGGAAGATGTCGTTTCTTTCTGTAGGTGACCGCGTATCTCCATCTTCGTCCCCCGCTGCTGCCTCTAGGACCTCTGCTTCAGCGTTGGCAGCTGCTGCTGCACTTTGTAGACGTAGTTTGAGAAGGTCAGCGCTGAGTATTGCTTTCCTTTTTGTAGCTTCAGCTTCAATGTGGGCTTGTTGTTTAATTACCTCTGCCTCTCTTTCAGCGTATGATACCTGTGCTTGTGCGGCTGCTGCTTTAGCACGTGCTCTTGCTGCTAAAGCGCTTGCATTGGACCACTGACTAGTTCGGGACCGCTGACTGGCACGTGATACGGTCGAACAGTTTGATCTTGTTTCCCACAGGTCATCAGCGTTGCTGACTGTACTTTGTTTGTCGTTAGGAATGGCAGTGTTGTCTTCTGTATCAACTTTTGACTGGCCTTCCATCTTGTCTTTTTACTATTCTGCCTTTACTAGTGTAAGGGAACTAGCTTTACAGATAGCGAACAGTCTTCAATAAAGGACCAGAAGCATCTTGCTGTAGTTGGTGTGTTTTTACTGATTGGCTGTAAAATTGTAACATACAGAAAAACAAAATAGGCATATTACAGTCTTATTGTGGCATACAAACAATGTAAATGTAAAATAAAGTGGCTAAACCATGAAAGTCAAAAAGATCGCTAAACGAAGGTTAGCACAATGCTAATTTGTATGGGAAATGCCATAGGGATGCTCCGCTATTAGCGCTGAATATATTTTAACAAATAATCAGATTAAATCATGCTACAATTACTAAATTTGGAGACTAACTGAAGCTAGTACTGTATTAATACACATACTTACAGACAGATATTTTTTAAGAGCCAAAAGAAAATGTTAAGAGACAAACACTGTGGAGTTGGATTAGCTGTTAAGATTGTTAGCTGCAAACTGAACTACGGTAGCTCTGCATGGACAAACACAAGAACTCAAAACACAGGAATACCCACAAGGGGGCAGAACAATTATAATAGATCCATGGTAAAACCAAGCCCCGGCGATCCAAGATGGCGCCCTATTCAAATGAACGGTTGTGCTCAGTGGCGCTTTGTGACAGCATGGGGGCAGAAAGATTAGCGGAAGTTGCCTGAAACTCGCAAAGATCTATGGGAAACTCGCCTGTATTTGGGCATCGTCTGGTCCTCCCGGTTCTGCGCAGTGGATGATCTCCCATAATGCGTTGCGCCAAACACGCGTGTGTGGGTCTCACACCGGGTCTCACGCACGTGCACAGAGGGGCTCGGCCGCGCTCTGACCAATCAGAGCAGTTCATCAGAGCGGGAGTTAGAGCGAGAGCCAGACGAGCAGAGTTTGTGGCACTAAAGTGTGGATTTAAACAAAACCGAAAGATTTAAGAAGAAAAAAAGTTCAGGATGACAAGGGACACTAAAATCCCCACAAAATCCGATCTTTATTAAAGCTGTAGGTTCTCCGTCAGCTGAGGTCGAGCTGTTTTAATATGCATTGAGTTCTATGGGGAAAATTTCTGGGTAGCCCACGTGAATTTAGTCTGGTTCAGTCTGCAGTACCGCGAGAATCCCCTGAGCACATGGGTTATTCAGCTACAAGCTAGTAATACCCTATCCAGTTAATATAATACATCCATGGGTAAAACTCAGTAGAGCCTCTGTGTAGTGGGTGCTGCGTCTGAACGTGGTCTTACATGTCGGCTCCACGCGATTGTCAAGTGCCTGAGCCGTTTGGAGACATCTGGTCATTTATCAAACTAAAGTATTCTTTCCTTGGCAGTCTGGAGAATAACTGAGAGTCGAGGAGCTCTTTGACAGTGCTCCTCGACTGTAAGGCCACCGTACATCAGTAGACTGCAATACAAGATCTCAATGCTAGATGGCACAAAATAATACACAGTCTCCCTTTAAAGCGAAAAAATTATCAAAGAAGAAATCAAGCCCGGGTGAACATAGCTAGCTTACATCGTATCCTCTGGAGAGACCTGCGGGACCGCCTTGGACTTTCAGTTATATATTTTGTTAGCAGTGCGTTGCTTTCATCAGTGATTGTTGTACAGGTTAAGTTGCGCTCAAGCTTATGTTTGCATATGTATCAGATCGGAAACAAAACTAGATGGCTCCGTGGGATGAGAGCGTAGGGAAAATGAGAAGCCTGTGAGCGAGTTGAGGGGGCGGTGCTATCCATTCAAACCTTGCAGAAACGGGTATAGTTCCATTAAGGGTCATCCTAGGGCTAGGCGATATAAACGGTATAATAATAATAATAATACACTTTATTTGAAAGTGCCTTTCTAAACACCCAAGGACATAATAAAAAAACATAAAAAACCGGAGTAACAGAATAAAACAGTTGTGCAATAGTGGGTGCGTGTGTGTTAGGTGGGGTAGGACAGTCTGAACAGATGGGTTCAGTCTGGATTTGAAGAGTGAAAGAGAGTCAATGGTACGGAGGTCAGGGGGGAGAGAGTTCCAGAGCTGGGGGGCAGAGTGGCTCTGTGTCCCACGGTGATGAGTCTGGCTGGGGGGACGGAGAGTGTGAGGGTGGAGGAGGAGTGGAGTGTGCGGGCAGGAGTGGCAGGGTGGAGGAGGTCATATAAGTACGGAGGGGCCAGGTTGTGAAGTGACGTATAAAGCCTAGTGTATAATTGCGGTGCACCTACGCAAGCACAATTTAATTTATACTCCTTGCGGAGTTTTGAGGAGAATGTTGTAATCCCACAACTAACCACATGATGGCGATCTCACAGGAGTTGCCGGAGAAACCAAAGCGGCCTTATTTACGCTGCTACTTTCTCCTCTTCAGATCAAAAACATGAACAAACCGAGCTGTTTGAGATCATTACATGTGTTTCTAATGTAGTTTATGTGATATTTCTATGGACTCATTATTTCTTAACTCATTTAACTGTGACGTTGTGAATAAAGACACAGTTCTTGTTGGAAACATAGTTATTATTAAATTGTATTCAGCACAAACAGCAAAACAATAAATGGTAAATATCTGAGGCAAACATGAACAATCTATAAGTGCAGGAGGAATGGAACAGACGCGATAAGCTACGAGTGCAGATTCAAACAAAGACAGGAACAGTGTGTGGTGATGTGGATCTGCTTGGCCACCAGCAGGAGGCGCACGGATGTATAAAATGCCTCAATGCGCCTCTCTCTGTCTACGCCATGCAGACTTCCGCCTCCCGGTGTCAACACTCCTGACAGTACAGGTAGCATCCTTCAGACTTTTTAATCTCACGTCTTTGTATTAATATAAATGCTTTCTGTAGCCTAGGGGTGTGCTGTTATGGGTTGCGTTCCTGTGCAACTGGCTCAGCTGCCTGCCCTTTCTCGTGGGTCCATGTGTGGGTTGGACCCAGAGTGTTGTGCACAACGGCCTACTGACTGTGCGCAACGATAATGTTCCATAGGGTAGGTTAGCGTGAGTTGTGGTCCTATGTTCCTGCCGTTTCTAATATTTTATTTTCAAGACAGGTGCAAGATCAGGACGTGACCCCCGCTGCCATCTCGCCTTTCGTTTCCGCATTTACTTTTCTTGTTCCATGTACTTGTCTTTTTATTTCACCAAGAGTAGACACATGGATACATTGTCAATATGTGATGTGCACTAGCTTTTGTACACTTTTGACAAACTAAAGAGAGCGAGAAAATCAGATATAATAAATATGCTCACTCATGGAACATGCCTCTTCTTTTTATGAACTTACCCGTGTGCCTTAGGGCGTTAGTTATTTTATTTTGGGTTTCAAGACCCTGGCGTTGCTGGTTTAGTCCACCGAATGTGAGCCCACGACCCTCGTCATACTACAAGTGCAAAACAAACGACTGCACAGTTTATAAGTTATATATATGTTAGATAGTCCACAGTCTCCCCGTATATCAGGCTCTGAGCCCAAACTACTTTTCCTTAATTTCCTTCGAAGCACAAAGCTCTCTGCTCCATAGTGCCTCGTCCATTGTCCCTGCTGCAGCCGCTTCATGCTTCCGCCCAAAACACACACACGGACCAATCACAGCGGAGCTTCCTTGCGGCGACCCTAGTTAGAAAATGTCGATGCTGTGCGGCAGGCAACGTAAGGGCCTTGCGGTGACCAACGCGTTGCGCAAGTGACGTCACGTCACCGCCGTAAGCTCCGCGCCGCGCAAGTATAAACTAGGCTTAAGCGGCATGCGATACAAATTTGGCCAACAGTAGAGTTTTTTGTTATACCGGCATATTGCGATAGGTCATTATGTCATCAACTTGCACGGGGCCCAACGGAATTCCTCCCCCAGGCTAGTCTGAAAGCACTAATGCAAATGCAAATTCCACGATTCCTGTGATCAGATTGAAATTAGGACTAAAAAGTGCTCAACCTTATTTTTCTGTTCTCAAGATGGCAACCCTACTCACTAACATTTAAAAAGCATGGTGTCTCTTTAATATGGAATAATATCATATGCTAAAAATTAGGGCTGTCAAACGTTAAACATTTTTTTTTTGAGTTAATTACATCTTAAAAATGTATTAATCTTAATTAATCGCATTTCAAACTATCGGCAAAATTATGCCATATTTTTCTGTAAATGGTTGTTTGAATGGAGTGTACATATGTACTGTATTTGTTTATTGTAACAATACATCCACATAAAACAGCATTAACATTATTCACATTCTTTCTTTCTGTAGTTGACAGTAGTTTTTAAAAAGATTTATTAAAATTGGTATTAAAACCTGTAATTTATTTGAAAAGCTATTTAGCTCATTGATCCAGCTTTGTATGAATTCAGGCCATAAAAAGGCCACGCCCCCTCTAGCGTCTGCAACACATGTAAACAACAACAGCATGGTAGGAGAAGGTGGGTACACTTCCTCTGGCTGTAACTGCAGACACAGCCAAAAGACACTAAAGTGAGGAGGAGAAGAGGGAACTTAAGCGAAAAAAGTATAAAAGCCTGGGTGAACATAGCTAGCTTACATTAGGGCTGTTTCCACGGGCCCGACTCTACTCGCCTCAACTCGACTCGGCACAACTCGACTCGGTTTGAGAGCGTTTCCATCGGCCCTGTGTATCAATGGCAACGTGTTACCTAAGGGGTAGTGATGCGCGGGTCGGCCCGAAAGCCGCGGTCTACGCGCAGTTTCGGGCGGGTTGGAGGCCTCAAAAATATGAGTCATGTCGGGTGCGAGTGGGTCGGGTCATAAAGCTCCTGATCCCTATATATAATTATATATATAATTAAGTTTAACAGGGAGGCTGTTAAACCAAAAAATCACAAACACCCGTAAGATCGCCACCTTCCTGACTCATGCTTTAAAACCCTCAAAATGCTCCAGCCATAGCTCCAGCCCGAAGAGAGATGTGTGATCCACACAGAGGCGCGTAGACTGATGACGTTTTTATCTTGGCCTACTCAAATTTGTTCCTCGCCTCTCAAGTCATT